GTCTTAGCCGTAGGACAAGGGGGGGTGAAGTCAAACAATACAGGCATGTGATCTTAAAAAACATTGTCACCGATTTTCAAATTAGAAACAGAGACATTGCGTGTTAAAACGAGGTCCAGCGTGTGACCGTGTTCCTGGGTGGGACAGTTCACCTGCTGAGCTAAGCCAAAAGAGTCCAATAAATCTAGAAAGTCCTTCACTAAGGGCTTCTCCTGACAACACACATGCAAATTAAAGTCACCAATAAACAAAAAGTGAGTGTATCTCTGTGTGATATCAGCCAAAAAGTCAGAGAATTCATTTATGAAGTCCTTGGAACGAGGGGGGCGGTAGACGAGTGCACACAGAACCGTTGGACTGTGTCCAAGTTCAAAGACACTTAGCTCAAAGCTGGCGCGGGACACTGGGATGGACAACTGTTTACAGGCTAAGTTTGCTTTAAAAACTGTTAATAATCCCCCCCCCCCGCGCTGACCTAATGGCCGCGGGGCATTGAAACACAGACAGTCCAGGGGTAGTAGTTCCACCAAGGCGCTGGACTCACCATCAGAAATCCAAGATTCCGTGACGAACAGAAAATCCAACTCCTGATTTTTAAAAAAGTCATTGAGGATAAATGTCTTGTTGGAAACAGACCTTGCGTTGATTAAACACATCCTGATAGGGTCCAACGCAGGCACGGCCGTGGAGGGAGACGCGAGCGCCAGCGGGCGCAGGTTATGAAGAACGGCTCCTCCAGGTCTGCTTGTGTGGCGCACAGGTAAACAACTCCAGGTTTTTCCATGGACTGAGCACGCGGGCAGCTGGCCAGCAGCCGGGCCCCGGGAGCACCACGGGTCAGAGAGGAGATGATCAGATCCAGAGCGAGTCCTGATAGAATAATCCACACTTTGCCTCAGTTTCACCAAAATCCCTGCACGCTTCCCACGATGTCTGCGATGTTTCCTCCATGGAGAAAGGCCAGGGTCACGCAGAAGGAATGCAGGAATCTCAGATAGGACCGGTGGAGGAAAGTGCTGGCTGCTGTACAAAATCTCTGCGGGAATTTCAGCAAATGTACGGAGCTCCAAAAGTGCCCGACGATCATCCTGAAAATATGACTCGGCACACTGCACCAACCATTGTAAAAATAACAAAAATAAAATACAAGCAGAGAGCGAGAGACGGGCAGCCCTACACACCGGCGCCATCTTGGAAAAATCAATAGTAAAATTGGTCTGTCTCACCCGTTCATTCAGCAGCTGGGTATGTGCCTTCTGAAGGATCTTGCTTGCCCGGTGCCCGCTGACCGATGATTTTAGTTCCAAGCTCTTGGGAATGATGCCATTTTGTCGACATCTGAGGTTGAATCGCAAGTGATTCCTGTAGTCTGCCTTGCTGTTTTCTCAAACTCTCTTACTAGTTTGAAGCAATCCTGGCCAAAGTGTTTCAAAATATCCTGATGCATGCTCAATAATCCAGGTAGAAAAATCCAAAAAAGTTCAATCTGGTCCTCTGGACATTCAAAAAAACAAAACAAAGCAAAACAACAAAAAAATATAGAAACGTTTCGTCTCTCATCCAAGAGACTTCCTCAGTCTGAGGCGCTGTATTCAGCTCAGTCTCTTAAATAGCACCTTCTCAGAGTGGATCAACCAGTTTGCTGCTGACAACCAAAACCAGCTGCTCACATGGTCAAGAAGGACCATCAGCCTCAAAATGGATCATTAGCACACTGATGGCTGTTTACTATTCACAGGGGGTTGAGTGATACTAGCAATAACAGCAGTGTAAGAGGGGGACAGTTGAACCCGGAGGCCTCCACCCCTGTTTAATAATGGACAATTTATTTTCACAAAGATGGCCTCCTTTATTCCTCTCTCAAACCATCGTTCCTCTCTGTCCAGGATGTGCACATCTTCATGCCTGAAAGAGTGACCGCTGGCCTGAAGATGAGTGTAGACCTCAGAATCCTGGCCTGATGATGGCCTGAGCTGAATACAGCACCTCAGACTGAGGAAGTCTCTCGGATGAGAGACGAAACGTTTCTATATTATTTTTTGCTTTGTTTTGTTTTTTTGAATGTCCAGAGGACCAGATTGAACTTATTTGGGTCTCAAAAAGGGTGTTTCAACTGGAAACAGCTGGGCTTGACTGCCAGGGTGTCGGAGGATGATTGCTCCAAACAATAAATGGGTGGATTCATTTTTTTTATGTGCATAATATTTATTGGTGAGTGATCAGGCTGTCACAAGCTCCTTCTCCTCTGTGAGGGTCATTTCCTTCCCACCAGGCTGACAGTTACCACAACGGCACCCTCCATATTTAGGCTCACAGGACGCACCAATCACCCATCGCACCCATCTCTACCATTCGAGGAAGTCACAGGTTGTGGTAACTGTAGTTGTATATAGCAGGACTTTTTCTGGGCTTGGGTGCACTGGAAACTCCTTGTATTTCACCGCAGCAGTCCACATTGAACGAGCAAAGTGAGTTTTTGACATGTGTGCTGCCATTTCAACTTCCTCAAACAAATCAGGATGAGCACCACCTACAGTCTTTCCCAGAGGGCCTTCCCACAAGACAAGGTCTCCAATCACTCTGACCCTTTGAGGGGCAAGTCCTCCCTCACGGTGACTGATCAGTAACTCAACTTCTTTAGGTCTTTTCAGTTCTTCAAGCTCCACTTTTGGGAAGAAGGTTTTAAGTTTTCTTGGTTCAATTTCTTTATGGACTTTGGCAATTTCATCCAGCCCATAACAAATCAGTTCATGTGCTCTTACCTTCCCTGTAGGCATTTGAATGCAGACTCTGAGGAGGTATTTCTTTGTGTTCACTCTCGTGGACATTCTACCCACACCATATAACACTAGAGTAATTTCCTCACTGCGCAGTCCTAGACGGTTAGCAGCCTTGTGTGTGATGTAATTTGTGTCAGATGCCAGGTCTATAAGTGTTCCAATCTTCTGACCTTCATTAGCCGTTACTTCCATTAACATCAGAATGACTGGCAGCTCGGGCAGTCCCATGCTTTTCAAGTAGGTGAGATAAAGCTTTGATCGAGTTACTTGCTTGTTTAGTTCCATTTATGAATGCCTTCCTGCACCTCTGCCATTTCTGGAGACAATTCAGACAAAAAAAATTATTGGTCAGCTGTCAGTTTGGTCTTACTTGGACTGCTTTTTTGTAAGGCCTCATCATCCACTTTGGTGTTTTGGGGGAAGAGGAAGTAGTCAAGTGGGCCTCCCTTTTTGCACTCTTTATTCCTGCAGAAGTACACATCTTTACAGCTTTCCCCATCAGAATGCCAGCAGAGACATTTCATGCATGACCCTAGTCTCATTAAAGTGGCTTTTTTTCTGGAACAGTCATAGCCTTAAACTTTCTGCAGAAGAAAAGTTTATTATAATGTCTCTCTTCTCCACACACATCACACACATTTTCAGGCTCACTTTTTGGCTTGGCCCTGGTCCAGACCCGGAGACAAGCCCAGACCCCGAAACGGGCCCTGGCCAAGACCACGAGACAAGCCTTGCCCTGGCCCAGACCAGAAGACAAGCCGAGACCCCGAGACAAGCCGAGACCCGAGACAAGTCCGGACCACGAGACAAGCCCTGGTCCAGACCACGAGACAAGCCCTGGTCC